TTGAGTTTCTCAAAAAATCGAATCTTACTTTAATAAAATAAAAAGTAAACTTTTTTACTAATTAAGTTGCTATTGCTTGAGTTTCATTCAAGTTTTTATCTTGGTTAAATCCCCAATTTGATCCCTGAACTATTGTATGAACCTCCGATTTGGTCCCTAAACTAAAAAAATCCCTAATTTGGTCCTTACTGTTTACCAATTTGCCCCAAATTAGTCATTCCATACAAAAAAAAGCTGATGTGTCTAGTATTTAACGACGAAAAACAGTAACTTAGCGGCAGAAAACAATAACTTAACGATCACGTGTCACGTTAATAACGAAATATATCAGTTGTTTTTGTATATAAAGACCAACTTGGGATAAATTGATAAACAGTATGGACCAAATCGGGTATCCGTACAATATTTCAAGGACCAAATTAGGGATTTTTTTAGTTCAGGGACCAAATTGAGGGTCCGTACAATAGTTCAGGGACTAAATTGGAGATTTAACCTTTTATCTTTATAAATAGCAAACATATACTACTAAAAAAAAAATTTTTTTTAAGTTATCATTTATATTACCTAAAATTACACCCCAGGTCTCTCTTCCAATCACTTCCCCTTATAAGATGAAGATGAGTTCCCTTAAAGAGGGAAATGAAGAAGATATATAAGGCGTCAGAAGAAAGACCAGATGGGTTCATTAGGATTTTAATTTTTTATTAATCAAGTAATTAATTGATTAATAAATTTAAATAATCAACTAATTAATTGATTAATTGGGGCCATAATATTAAAAAAATTAGTAAGTATCCATTTAAGCATCAATCTAGGGTGGAAAACATTGACATATAAGCATAAAGCTTGTTAAATCATGCCATGTCTAGAACTTGGGTAATAGGTGGTCACTGTTCCACCACCCTACTACGGTTCTAGCCTTCTAGGCTTCCTATCCTGTTGTCCATCAACCACGCCTTTCGACTTGATCTTAGGCCTTAACTCACCCTTTGTGGACGAACCTTGCGGAGGAACCCTTAGGTTCTCAAGGCATTGGATTCTCACTAATGTTTGTGTTACTTAGCCCAACATTCTCGCTTTTGCATCGTCCACCTCCACTTGCGTGGATGCTTTACTTTAAGGTAGAATGCTTCCCTACCAATGCAATTTTACATCTCATAGCTTCAGCAAATTGCTTAGCCCTGTTCATCTACAATTCATGGTGAATTTATGGATTTACCTAAATTAGGTTATGAACCCAAAAAAAAAGAAAAGAAAAGATTTTTATTTTCAAAACTAATTTTATTATAAAGGGTTAGCACACGAAAAATCAAATTCTACATAAAAAAAAAAATCTTTGAATGTCCTGAAAATGCCACAACCATAACAAAACGTGCTCAGAAATGGTTGAAGTAGTTGAATAGGAGGATTGCTATGACTATAACCCTTGGTAAATTTACCCAAGAAAAAAATGATTTATTTGATATTATGGATGACTAGCTACGTAGAACCATTTCATTTTTGTAGGTTAGTCCAATCTATTGCTCTCCCCTTGTGCCTATTTCGCTTTCGGGGGTTGGTTACAGATTTTGTCAAGAGGGAGAAACTTATAATTAATATCGTAGAAACTCATGGTTATTTTGGCTAATTAATCTTCCAATCTACTAGTTTCAACAATTCTTGTTCTTTACACTTCTTAGCTACTTGGCCTATAGCGGGTATCTGGTTCACTGCTTTAGGTGTCAATACTATAGCATTCAACCTAAATGGTTTTAATTTCAACCAATTTGTAGTTGATAGTCAAGGTCATGTAATTAATACCTGGACAAATATTATTAACCGTGCTAACCTCGGTATGGAAGTTATGTATGAACGTAATGCTCATAACTTCCCTCTAAACCTAGCTGCTTTTGAAGCTCTGTCTACAAATGGATAAGACTTTTGTTTTAGTGTATACGAGTTTTTGAAAATGAAGGAGCAATATCCAATTTCTTGTTCTATCAAGAGTATTGGTATTGCTCCTTTACTTTAGTAGTCCTTTATTTACGTGTAAGTTTTTAAATTCTTTCTCTATAAAAATTGAAAATGCAAACACAAATAGGTCCCTTAGTCCCCAATTACCTCTTGTTCAAAGAAAAAAAAATGCCATGTTTTAATCAATTAACAAAAAATTGACATCATTTAATATCAGTAGTTAAATATCAGTGAATTACTCGAAATCAATTAGTTAGGAGTTAGCTTGATTTGTTTCTAATTGTAGGAGTGAATTTGTTTCTATGACCAACATTAAGTGTAGATCTAGATATTTCACGCATCAAAGAGGAGCGAGAATGATAGAGATAAAGGGGGTCATTTTAAAGAATTATGATTGAAAATGTTTTTATATTTGATCAAAAAAATTTTAAATTTAAGATCTCACGTTACAAATTTGCTATCAACTTAAAGGTGGGAATCAAGTGGCTTGAGTACTTAAGCCATAAAGATAACGTGAAGTAAATGATATAGAGTAGAGATGGGAGAGTAGTTTACCTTAGCTACTTGCTGGCTAAGGGTTGGGATTTGCACGTGAGACCAAATTAAACACGCCAATTCCAAAATAAGACCCTAATTGGGACTAGCCGTTACGTTTAAACGGTCTCCACCACTTGTTTGCGGCGGGTGTACCGGCTTTTTCCCTCTTTAATTGATTAGCCCATTTATCATGAAAAACGTACTCAAGCTACGGATTTTCCTCTCTTTTGTTAAGGGAAACAAAAAATCAGAAATGGAATTGATTAATGAGGTTTCTGATATTTTTCATAGTATATCATGTTAAGAAAATAGTAATCGAACATAATAGGAAAAGAAAACAAAAAATGTTAACAACTTAAATAGTTCAGTAATTATCTTCTTTCGCTAGAATAAGAAGTCTTGAGCTCGAATCCTATAATATACAAATGGAGTAAAATAACAGATGAAAAATAAATGCATTTTATTGTACAACTAAGATTAAAAAAAAATCAAAAAACAAAAAATTATGAGGCGTTAATTACTTTCCTTAAAACATTAAAATACCTCATAATATAATAGAATTAAATTAAACTCTTTCAACTATACATATAAAGGAATTATATGTTGGTCCATACATAAATTCTAAACCTGCTTTATATAAAAGTGCAGACGTCTCTTCATTTTCAAGTCGGGACACCACCATGCACGTTAATTAATTTTGCAACCACTGATGCTCATCATTCAATGAATTCTGATCAAGGGTCATAAATGTGATGATCAGGCATGTCTTTTGACATCTTTTCATTCAAGTTACAAGGATAAGTACTACACATACTTTGAAAGTTTGGTCCTTCAAGTTTAAAACATGTTCAAAATGCCCTTGACACTTTTAAACTAGGTTATATACACTTTTAAACTAGTTTATCAACTTTCATTTTTGAATCAAATTTATCCTTAAACTATGAAAAGTATCACAAATATCTTCAAACTTCAATTTTTGGGATCAACTCAATACTTTCGTTAATAGAAGAACCAAATGACACATTAAGTCAATCTTTTTTTCTTCAACTATTGACATGAAAAAAAAAAAAAAGTGAATTTTGATGAGTAAGCGTCAAAATGTAAATTTGGTCCAGTTGGCATGTCATTCTAAAAAGTGCATCCAAAAGTAATGAAATTTGTTTTTTCTAGTTTGGTTAGTAGTTGTCAAAATTTAAAACTTAAAATTTTGGTTAACCGGACAACCAAAACCAAACGGTGCGCACCCCCGCTTGCTTCTATATCCCATCATTATATATTAAAAAGGGAAAAAGATAAAAATCACATGCCAACTGGACCAAATTTTTAATTATTTCCTCTTTAATTCATACACCATTATTGTGCCCAACTTCCTCTCCAATGCTCCTCTTCACCTCCCCTCCAACATCCATTTATGATTTACTCGCCATTATTTGACATATATTAATTTTCTCTTCTTTAAATCCTTCTCATGCATCCTCTGAGACTCCACTACTCAAGCCTTCTCTTCTCTAGTTAGTGTACCTCCTTTCTCTCATCAGTTTATAACGATCTTCCTATTCCTTCTGGAAAGGGAACGTTTCAGCAAAAATGGATGGCGGGGGATGCAATGTGAAAGTGGTGGAGCAGAACTCCAAGCCAAGAGTAAGATTCTCTGATGTTGGCTTAAGGATACTGGGGCTGGCACTGACAATGGTAGCTGCCATTGTAGCCGGTGTAGATAAGGAGACTGCAGTTGTGTCTTTCACTATTACAAAAAACTTACCTACCGTTCATGTTCCAGTCACTGCTAAGTGGCAATACCTGTCTTCTACTGTGTAAGCTCCCCCGCTTTTGCCTGTTTATACTCCTTTTTCTTTTAACTCTCCCTCCTGTCTGAAATAGTTGTCGCTTGACTTCCGTATGTAACATGTCTCTTTCTCGATGTCTTAGGTACTTTCTTGTCGTGAATATCATAGCTTGCTCATATGCAACAGCATCTCTGATATTCTCCGTGGCAGCCCACCGGAACTTCAGGGAGCATACGTCCTCATTGGTTTTGGTCATGCTCGACCTTGTAATGACGGCCTTGCTCTTCTCTGCCGAGGGGGCTGCGATGGGGGTTGGACTCATAAGCAGGAACGGGAACTCTCATGTGCAATGGCACAAGGTGTGCAACATGTTTAAGGGCTTCTGTCGTCAGATGATGGTTGCCATGATCATGTCCCTGTTGGGTTCTTTTGTCTTTCTCTGGCTGGTGGCCTTGTCCATTCTGAACCTCCACAAAAAATCAAAATAGAGACACAAGGAAAAAGGGCCAATGGAAAGAGTTGTTGGGGGTATTAATAAATGTTAATTAATATGATCACTAAATGCTCTGAGAAAAGCAGTAACTTTGAGACCAAGCCAGCTGTATATATAATGTACGGACTATTGTTACTGTAAGATTTAGTTTGTGGTTGCAGAATTATGTGATCTGGTGTTTCCTGTCCAAAGATAATTCAACAAGGGTCGTGATTTTTCAATTTGAACTAGTAAAATGATGTTAATTTAAATAATTATAATTTTAAATGTATATGACCTTACATTCACGTATAATAGTCTCAAATTATATTCTTAAGAATGTACATATATATATATATCAAGTACTATGATTGTTTGGACTTTGGACTGATTTTTTTGCTAGTACATTATGGAATGTATGACATTTCATTTAATAAAATTCTAGTATTAAACAATTTTAATTTGCACTCAACATTATAGTTCAACTGGTAAGGTGTATCATCAACACTACCAAGAAGTGTAATTGAGAACAACCAAAACATCTAGGTCTAAGTCATGTACAACCATGATCATAAGTTCTACAAATTGCTGTAATGCTCAAGGGGGAAGCTTACATTCATCTGAACTTAAAAACAAGAGATTAAAG